TAAAAAAATTGATTCACCTCGTCCCCTGGTTCTTCGTATACAACTTTGGTTATGCTGTATCTCGAACAAAAACAAGATATTGTTTTTGTTGGGTCCACAGTCATGTTGACGTACAGGGCAATGAACAGGCGGACACTGCTGTGCAGTCAACAGTACATTACCTCCCAGTTTCATTTAGAGGTGTTCCATTCACAGACTATTTTGCTGTAATTTCTAACCACCTTTGCAACCGTTGGCAACAACATTGGTCTGATCTGATACATAACAAATTACATTCTACTAAACCAAGTATGGGCTGCTGGCCATCTTCCTGTCATCAATGCTGTGGTTGGGAGGCTACTCTCTCCCGCCTTTGCATTGGACACACTCGTCTTACTCGGGTATCTCATGGAGAAGCGCCCTATTCCACTCTGTGAGAATTGTCAGGTTCCACTTTCTGTTAGCCATATTCTGTTGGACTGTCTGGAGGTCTATCAGTGAGCATGCAGAATTTACCCCCTAACGTCATCACCGCTCTAATGCTCTTACTTTATCTTCCCTCCTTGCTGACGGACCCACCTTTGATTCAACTCTCTCGCTGACTTTTTGAGAGCAACTGATTTACTGTCAAAACTTTGATGATGCTTACTCTAGCACTCTTCACAGTCCTTTCTACCTCTCCCTCTTGCTACCCTATACCCCTGCACTATCCCCTGCCCCACTGTGCTGTATGACCCTTGTAGGTTTAGCACTTCTTTTTTATTATAATTATGCACTGCAAATAAAGAAAAATGAAATTTGAAGGGGGGGGGGCAGAAAGCCTACAGAATCTCTGCCTTAGAGTGTTGAAGTTTGAGCTTGGAGGAGTGTGTAGTCCTTGGTGAGTATGTGCAGCATTTTGTAAGTGTAGTGGTAGACCTGCCTTAAAAATGTGATAATCTTTGAAGCATGTGGATTTTATCTGTAATTTTTTATGAGCAGCATTTTTGGGAACAGTCAGTCTGCAAGTACAGTACTGTATATTTAAATTTGAAACTCTGATCCATTAACAACTCCTATCTGTATTGCCCTTGCAGTAATTTCCTGTAATGTGGGAATGGTCTTTGTTATGGCCATTGTTGGGGATTGGTGTGATGGTGCCTGATAGTGGCCGTGGTGATTCTTAAACAGTGAATATGTTGACTTAGAGAATATGGGTATTGTGCCTCTGCTTAGTAGCATGCTGATGTCTCAGATAGGCCACTATAGAGTTGAAATGCTCCCTACATCTAAAGTTTTCACAATATTTCATTCATGACTGGCTCTATAGAAAGAGACTATACCAGAAATCTGCTGCTTGTTCCATCCATTAACATGCATATGAATTTCAGATTCATTTTGCTACCCTTTACAACTGTATTCTTATTGTTACTGCCTTTGACCTCACCTGACTTCAGCATCTTATCAGTGTTTTTCATTTGTCAATTTGTCTTCATGTGATACATTCCATTTCCTCACATCTGCCTTCTCCATGTCCTCTAAACCTCCACCTGCACCATCCTCACTAACTTCCTTGTCAGTATTTGAGAAACTACTAAACTCATTGACTACCTCTGACCACAACTTTCAGTATGTGTTGACCAACTCCTTCACCTTGTCAGTTGCCTCCTTTGATGTTAATGATACAGTGCATAATTCTGTCAAACTTACAACACCTGTTAATTTTGTGTTTCATGGATCAACATTAACCATATTCAGAATGTAACAGCAATTGAAATTTATTATCTTAAAAGCATCATTTATCCTTTTGTCTAAATCTACAATGGAATGTCATGTTGAGAGGCATAAATCTGACCATAACTTTGGAGTACTCATGTTGTAAGTCATCTAGATTGGATACTCTGTTCACTAATTGTGACCAAGTTTCTAACCAGTCAAGTTTTTGCTATGAATTATTCACTTCACAAGATAGAAGCCAAATGTCAAAGTAGAATGAATGCTTACTTTACTTATAGAAAAGTAAATCTCTGCAATTATTCTATTTTGAGATTGGTCCTCCATCCAAATATTTCAGGCTTTGTAAACTTTTTTGAAATGAGGATCACATCTTACACATGGCATTTTTGCAATTAAAGATCATGCTGAAAGGATAATAGAAATTTTTTCACCAATAAAATCACGGACTACCGTCCTTTCAATATCCATAAGAAGCTTGAGCATAATTCGCACACACATGAAACATTTCATTGGAAAAAGAGGATGCATTCTGAATCCCTGCAGCCCTTACATCCAGAGTACAACTATTAATTTAACTTTTGTACTACATACCTATTTTACATCATTTGTAATACAGATGAATTATTTAATACTGTTTACATATTACATGAATGTTGAATAGATGAACTAGGAGCCATTTGAAGATCTGGAGTCAAACTTGTAGGTAACAGTATTAGTATATCAAGCCAGGCTTGCAAAAGACATGATACAGTATACAAGCCTCAGATACAAAACCCAGTCATGGATAACAAGTATGAGGTCATAGACATAAGCTTATCTATCTTGAGGAAATACGCTTTAGTAATTGTATCCTAGAGGAGGAGGTAGAATTTGTTACTATACAAATTAAACATTGAAGAACTGAACACCACAAGCATAACTGTTCCTGCAGCTGCAAATAATTGTTTCACTTATTTCTTCCCCCTGTTTTCTAAATGTACCATATTGCTGACCCATTAACTTTATATACAGTAGCTTCCTCACAGACATTCCTCTTGATTTCATTAAGTTGTCTCAACAAAATTTTCTTACTTTATGACATTACTTGCATGCTTTTTTTTTTTTTCCACCAGTTTTAAGCAAATGATCTGGAAAATGTTAAAAGGCAATGCTTGTGGTTGATATGTCCACCAAAAATGGTGGGTAACGCTCACTAAACAACCAGTGACACTTCATCAAGCATCTAGAACATGGCACATTACAAAATCATATGGTTATATTTTGACAATGCAGTCTTCTCATTGAGCACTTTACAGTTATTTTCCTTACGTGGTTATGGAGCAACTTGGGCTGTTTTGGTTTTTGATGTTGTGGAGAGCTAGAAAATAATAGTATTTTAATAATTTACAAATTGTAAATTGATTACAACTTACAATAACACATGAACAGTTTCACAGTAGCAGTGCTCGAGTTTCAGTGTTGCAAATAGTAAATTTGGATTGTATAGAATAAATTGTGAATACCTATGATCATGAATAGTGAACTTTCTGAATGAGACAGGGTTGCTGTGTATACAGTTCTTGATTTTTTGTAAATCATTAATTAATGTTTATTAAACTGTTAGGATTGTGGTCCATTGAAAGAAAAGTGGAGAAGTATACAGTTAAGAAAACTTTGGGCTTGATTGGAAATTGTATAATTTTTGTCTTGGGACCAAGATAAATTCAATGACTACATTGTTGTTATTGAAGCTATGCATTTTTTAGTATAATTGTTAAATGCATCACATATTGATATGCTTCATGTCTTTTAATAACGTGGTGTGATCATGATTGACTGAATGGCCATTTTTTACCTCTGGGGTTAGTGTAAACTATTTATTAGGCTACTTAAAATTGATAAAAAGATGTATTTACTTGTGCAGCCATATATATTACATTTTTAATTTGTGAAATGGTGATTTTAATGTAAATTTTATTTCCATAAACTTTCCAGTGTTGTAAACTTGCAAAGATATTGTAAATTTATTACATAAAGCAGCTATTTTTAATTGAACAGTACAAAAATTTTTCCTTGAAACAATTTGGTTAAAACTATTATTGTTGCAAATTTTTATATTAATGTCAGTTTCTCTTAGACTTAGTATAAAACTTTTATTAGAAATATAAAATACAGGTAATAGAGGGTTCAGCAATAGAAAACAATATACTGTACATTATTCATATAATACAGTACTGTATATTGCATAATTTTTGCATTTTGCATTCAGTGCACTTTAGATAGCTTATCATTTTGATATATAGTTAAGTAGGCAAAGATTTTGCACATTTGTGATGTTTCCTGTGATTTTGCCAATTAGTGCTAATATAATGATAAACCAAAGTTCTCCTTTTCATAGGCTATTAAAGGTGCATATTCATTTTTTTTTTTTTTTTTTTTTAAGACTAATCCCTAACTTTGCCACTTCAGTAATGTCATTTTAACGAAA